ATTCCTACTAACACTTCAGTATGTTTCTTTACAGACTAAAAATTCTAAGTACTTTGAAAAGAGTATTTACTACCATTTGCAGCAACCCTCCCCAGGGGAGTGAGAGGCACTGTGACTTCATGCAGCAAGCCACACCCTGCCCTAGCTGAGCTCATTTCTTTTTTTTTCTTTTTGAGGACAGAGGTCCTCACTCTTGTGCCCCGGCTAGAGTGAAGTGCCATGACGCAGGTCAGCCTAGCTCTAACAGCAACCTCAACTTCTGCGGCTCAAGCATCCATCCTGGCCTCAGCCGTCAGTAAGTGGGACTACAGGCATGCGCCACAGCATGCCCGGGCTAATTTTCTTCCGTTATAGGTTAAGTTAAAGCCATTACCTTGTTCTTTGTCTATTTCAATCAGTAGGAAAACGGGTCCTCGCTCCTTGCTCAGCTTGTTTTCCGTACTCTGAGCTCGAGCACACATCTCGCCCGCCTCGGCCTCCAGAGTTGCTAAGGATTACAGGCGTGAGCACCCAGCACGCGGCCGCTGAGCTCATTTCTCACCGCAACGAAGTGTTTCAGAAAAGCACCTGGGTTGTTCTCTGAGCCTTGGCTTTCTCTGGGTTTATTCTCTGGTAACTGCTGACTGGGTTTGTCTTGGCTGTCAGCCTGCTTACGAAAGAATAAGCTGGGAGTTCTCCTTTGAACAGAAAAAGATACAATTTAATTGCATGTATCGCCCCCAGCGGTTAATAATCGAATTTGGCGATAAAAATATAAACCAGGCACAAAGGAATAGATAATTCTTCTGACTGGAAGACATACAAGTGTTTTTTTTCTTCCTCCTCACCAGAAACAACGTCGTTAAGATTCACATCATGAGTGGGAAATTCTACAGATAGATCTGTCTTGTTTCCTTGAAGAGAATTCATCGTGGTCTTTTTTAAATCCATCTATTTGTCTCCGAATACTATCCCATTAGGGTTAGGTTTTATTAGGTTTGATTGTAACTAATAAAAAGGGTGTAATTTTATTTGGAGGTCATTTTTGTTTGAATGACTTCAGAAATTGTTATTTTTTATTGGTCATAAAAATACACCTTCAGGCTATCATTTAGTACACAAAAATAGTAATTTGCTAAAAAGTAATTTAGGAATATAAAAGTATGCAGTAAATGAAACTTTCCAAATGGCAATTGGTGACTCTTTGATATAGCATCAATGATAGCCGGTTTGGATTATTTTTGGAATGAGAGAGGCATACATTAAATTAATAATGTAAGATATTTCCAATTATGTGCTTGAAAGTTCTCTGACCACAAAAATTAAGATCATTTTCTAATAATTATTTTGGTCTTCTTTTATCACTTAATCTTTTCACAATTAATCAAGTAAAAGTATCAATGAACTGTGTCCTAAACATGACTGATTGTTATAAGATTGGCAGATTTCCAGAATTTCATTATTAATTATACTGACTTGCCATTTCTTAAGCACAGTGAAGTAAATTTTGGATAAGTTTAGTCCAAATTGGTTTAAATAATGTATGCAAATCCTTTGGTTATTTATAACTATAGAAAAATTTATATTACCCCTCAGATGCATATCATGAAATATTAGGTCTAATTTATAACCTTTTTAAAAATTTAAAGTGCCGCCGGGCGTGGTGGCTCACGCCTGTAATCCTAGCACTTTGGGAGGCCGAGGCGGGCGGATTGCTCCAGGTCAGGAGTTCGAAACCAGCCTGAGCGAGAACCCGTCTCTACCAAAAATAGAAAGAAATTAATTGACCCAAAACAAATCAGTGCAGTGTAAGGGGTAGTTTGCCGGGCATGGTGGCGCATGCCTGTAGTCCCAGCTATTTGGGAGGCTGAGGCAGGAGGATCGCTTGAGCCCAGGAGTTTGAGGTTGCTGTGAGCTGGGCTGATGCCATGGCACTCACTCTAGCCTGAGCAACAAAGAGAGACTCTGTCTCAAAAAAAAAAAAAGAAAGAAAAAGAAAAGAAAGCAATAGTACTAACAGAAGAAATAAATACCACATCAAGTTAATTATGATTTAGAAAACATGGGCATTTCTAAATCACAGAGCTCTTCTGTGTTAGTCTGCTGGGGCTGCTATAACACAATACCATAGACTGGGTGACTTAAAACAACAGACATCTATTCTCACATGTGCAGGCTGGGAAGTAGGGGACAGCATGGTTGTGTTCGGGATTGCTGACAAATGCCTTCTTGCTGTATCTTCACACGACAGAGAGAGACAGCAGACAAGCTCTCTGGTTTCTTTTTTTTTTTTTTTTTTTTTGAGACAGAGTCTCACTTTGCTGCCCAGGCTAGAGTGAGTGCCATGGCATCAGCCCAGCTCACAGCAACCTCAAACTCCTGGGCTCAAGCGATCCTCCTGCCTCAGCCTCCCGAGTAGCTGGGACTACAGGGATGCGCCACCATGCCCGGCTAATTTTTTCTATATATATTAGTTGGCCAATTAATTTCTTTCTATTTATAGTAGAGACGGGGGTCTCGCTCTTGCTCAGGTTGGTCTCGAACTCCTGACCTGGAGCAATCTGGCCACCTTGGCCTCCCAGAGTGCTAGGATTACAGGCCTGAGCCACCACACCTAGCCTACATATTTCATATTCTTAATCATGGTTTTACTGAATCCATATCTCCAACCATCTAATTTCCAAAATAGTAAATACTCTGTCCAGCACCTATTTAGATAAATATTGCAGAGTAATGTCTCAAAAAGACAGTATCTATTACCTAATGAGTAAGCCTACATGTTAAGCTAGTAACATACTGCAATAAGTTATATTTAACTTGCAAAAGCATTCCTTGTTTCATGAACACTCACATCATATATAGTTTCATGAACTTTTTTTGTCATATGCCTAAGATATTTGGTCTCAGGTGTTTGTATTAAAGACAGGAATAAACATGGATTTCTGACTTCTGTGGTGTTTCTAAAAGTGTTCAAGACAATAACAGTTGATAACAGTTCATGACAGTTAAACATGAAATGTGTTTGTTTATCAATACATAAGATATAATGTATAGGCAATAGCAACTATTAGAACTATCCACATCATTTATCTCAAGTTACTCATATTAAACATGCATTTTTGGAGGACAGAATCAACCTGGAAGGACATTTGTAAACCATCATGTCCTACCTCCCAACCATTGCACGAATCACTTCTTCAAGGTCTTTGACAGAGAGGGAGCGAATGAAATGATAAATTAGGTATTATGAGATAAATAAATGTGATAAAATCTCTTTGTTCTGTGAATAGATAGTTTTGTGTAGCTGCTATAAAAAATATTACAAACTTAGTAGCTTAAAACAATGCAAATTTATTATATCACAGTTGCTCTAACTCAGAAATCTTGGTGGACTCAATTGCATCGTTTTCTTAGGATATAAGGGCTGGAATCAAGGGGTTGGCAGGGATCTATGGAAGGCTCGAGGGAAGAATCCACTTCCAAACTCATTCAGGTGGTTGGCCACATACAGTTCCTTGAGGTTATAAGACACAGGCCCCAGCTGGGCATGGTGGCTCACGCCTGTAATCCTAGCACTCTGGGAGGCCGAGGCGGGTGGATCGCTCAAGGTCAGGAGTTTGAAATCGACCTGAGCAAGAGCAAGACCCCGTCTCTACTAAAAATAGAAACAAATTCATTGGCCAACTAAAAATATATAGAAAGAATTAGCCAGGCATGGTGGCGCATGCCTGTAGTCCCGAGTAGGGAGGCTGAGGCAGTAGGATTGCTTAAGCCCAGGAGTTGTGAGCTAGGCTGATGCCACGGCACTCTAGCCTGGGCAACAGAGTGAGATTCTGAATAAAAAAAACCCAAAAAACAAAAACCCTAAAAAAAAAGACACAGGCCCCTATTTTCTTGCTGCTGTTGGTGCAGGGTCAGGCTTTGCTCCTAGAAGCTGCCCACACTTCTTGTGCTTTCCATGTGGCCCCTTCCAACAATGGCGGGTAGAAGTCGGCTCACACTTTGAGCCTCTGACTCTCCCTTCTGGTACATCTCTCTGCCTCCGGCTAGAGAAAGTTCTCTGCTTTGAAAGGCTCCTTGATTGGATTGCCTCCCCCTGCAGGATAATCCGGGATAACCTCCCTATCCTAAAGTTCATAATCTTAATTAGACCTGCAAAGTCCCTTTTGCCATGTAATGTGATAGAGTCATAGGTTCCAGGGATTAGGGCACAGGCAAGTGAGGTTGGGATGGGAGGGTTTCCGCCTACTATGGTAGAATACGTGCCTTGTTTGAGATTCCACTCATTTTTCTGAATACTGCCACTCAGCACATTCCTTTATCATGTCATGAATAATTGCTGAGTTCTTATGATGGGTCAGGCAACAGGTTTGATACAGGGGTTATAATAGCGACCAAGCCAGAAGCAATCCATGATCAAGTGGAGCTGTGGAAGAGGCAAATATTCAAATATAATTACACGAATAAATATTGAGGTACAATTGTGATCAAAGTACCTTGGGACTGCTATGATGCTGTAACAGTACCTTATTGTGAAGTTGACATTGGTTTGAGGGTGTGGTTCAAGAAGGGCTTTCCTAAAGAAGTCAATTCCCTGCACATATTTGAAAAAGAGCCATTACATTTCTGAGGCATTTTCATGTTCTTTATCTTTACACGATGCCAAAACAAATCAGTGCAGTGTAAGGGGTAGTTTCCGTGTGTGTGTGTGTGTTTGTGTAAAACATATGTTTGTGAGTATTTTTTTATAAACCACTAGCTTTAGAGGGTGTCAGTCAAGGTGGCTTATCTTTTACTTCTCCTTTTCTCTACCCGGCAGAAAATGTGTTGGGGGAATTTAGGCACATACAGAATTTACCAGTGGAAATGAAAATTTTTAATATAAATGTGGATTGAGACTGCTTTGCTCTTAAAAGTTATTACTGACAGTGGGATAGGCTTCCATCAGGAGAAAACCTGGAATACAGAAGAAAAGAATTTTAATCTGAGATGGTGCTCCCCCTTCTTTGTAAGAAATATTAATAAAAAGTGATTTACACGGGGCCGCAACGGTCGCTCGGCCCGACTTCGCTACCCCGCTCTGTGCCCCCGTGGCCTTGGCGGGGATCGTTGGTTCTGTCGACGCGGCGGGCAGCCCTCGCTCTCTGCCTCTCGTGGCTTTGCGGTCGTCCCTCCCCGTGGCGGGGGGGGTCTGTCCCGCTCGCCCGGTCGCGCGCCTTTTCGGCGCGTGGTTCCCGGGTCCGTGGCCCTCTGCGGTGCTCCTGGAGCGTACCGGGTCGGTCCCCAAAGGTGCCCGAGACCGAGCGGCGGCCGTCGTCCTCGTTCCCGGTGTCCCTCTCTGGTCGCTGCTGCAGTGTGCCGCGTCGTGTCCCTGAGCAGTCCTGAATCCGGGGGGTCGAGGCGGTTGAGCCGACGGGCGTCACCCCGTGCCGCGTGGGCGGGCGGGGTGCCGCTCTGTCAGTCCCCACGGCGTGTGTGGTGGACCGGAAAGGCGAGAGCGGCGCGGTCCGTGCTTCTTCTCTCCCCGCTTTTTTTGGGAATTTTTAAAAATTATAAAAAAAAAAAAAAAAAAAAAGTGATTTACAACCAGGGCAATGGGCCTGGGAAAGAACAAATGCTTCAATAACCAGGGTATGTTGTTTGAAAGGAGCAGCCAAACCAATAACAAACTGTTATTAATCTGTTAATAACTGTTTTGTTTTTTAACTTTTAGATGTATTGTCCTCATAGAAAAGAAAACTAAATGCCCTTCTTGCTGAGTTTGAGTTGTACTCATTTTCCAGGTGACAGTAGGAGATCACTGGCTGATCTCACTGATGGGTAAACCGAATTGGAAATGGAGCACCTGCCCACCCCTACCTTGCAGCCCAGCACTTTCACTCCAGAAAGCAGAGCTGGTTCCTCTTCCTCCAGGAGCTGACACAGACTGAGTGGAAGAGAGCCTCCACCATCCAAGCCGGAGGCATTTTCCCTGAATGCTTACGAAGAGACAAAGAAGAACAATTTCCTTTTCCAGTAGTTGAGACTGAAATTTCTCAAGGGAACAGTGGCCATAGGTCTACTCATTTGGAGGATTTTGAAAGCAGAGGCTGCAAGAGAACAGAAAGCTGAGGGAAGAGAGGACTGACTGTGAGGATGAAGAGATTAATTGATCTCTGTCAGTCTGGACTCTGAAAACCCATTTGGTGGCCATGGTGAGGTTCCCCTCTTGACTCAATTCTAGGGGAAGCGATCAGTTTAGGATGCAGGTGGATAGATAGTGCACCAGAGCTCAAAACTATCTCAAATTGGCCGGGCGTGGTGGCTCACACCTGTAATTCTAGCACTCTGAGAGGCCAAAGCAGGAGGATGGCTCAAGGTCAGGAGTTCGAGACCAGCCTGAGCAAGAGCGAGACTCCGTCTCTACTAAAAATAGAAAGAAATGATCTGGACATCTAAAAAACATATATATAAAAAATTAGCCCGGCATGGTGGTGCATACCTATAGTTCCAGCTACTGGAGAGACTGAGGCAGAAGGATTGCTTGAGTCCAGGGGTTTGAGGTTGCTGTGAGCTAGGCTGATGCCACAGCACTCTAGCCTGGGCAGCAGAGCAAGACTTTGTCTCAAAAAAACAAAAACAAAAACAAAACCCTATCTCAAATGGATCCAATATTTACCTCAACTGCACCAAGGTTTTCTTTTTTGGCCTCCTGAGATCACCGTATCTTTATTATCCAAATAAAATAATTCCAATTTCATGTCTTTGGGTTCCCCACAAGCGGAATATCAGGTAATCACTTGGCACTGCCTGTACCCAAGGAACAGAATCTCTAATATACAGAGCAGTCTGACTCTTATTATTTGCACACACTAATCTGCAAGTACTGTCTTTACGTAGCCCAAAGGCCCATTGAATTGCTTCTCCAAAGGCAAGAGAAATTCTCTCTGGAGCTATAAAATGCAGCTTGTAAAATTGTAATAATTTTGGAATCCATGACTGCCACTCAAAAGCTGTTTTTAAATGATTGAGGTTTTCTTGTTTTCTTGTTCAAAGCTTATAACCAGGATTTTATCTCATCTAGAATATTTTTCTTTCAAATTTGGTATGCTTTTTATTATGAACAATGTATTTGAATAGGAAAATATAATTTTCATGTATAACATGAATTCCCTAGACAAGAAAGAAAAGTATGCCAACCCCAGAGGCTCACACTGGGCTTTTAATTCCGCTGCTAACCCAGTGTGATCAGCAAACATGCCCTCTCCTATACATGGGACGTGAGCATTTGTTGGGCTGTTCTAACAGAGACCACACTCGCTGTACTTACCCTCGATTGAGAACTGTATTTTTTCATGAGGAGGGTGTTGCCTCAGGTTGGTATGGAACTTCTGAAGGGTTAAATATGAAGTAGTGCAAGAATAAGGAAAGGCCTGTGAATTCAGGTGACTGGATAGTTGAGACACACTAGAGACAGATTCAATTCATAACCTCTGAGGCCTGTCATTATTAGCCTCTGCGTTTTTTGTTTTTTTTTTTTTTTTCTTTTTCCAGGAAAACTACAACATTAATCTTTGGTCATGTTCCTGGAATTCAAAGAAATATTATGAGCAATGAATTCAGTATGAATTTCATCAAAGAAATGTAGTATCTTTACATGGAATATATGTATGTATGTGGGGTACACACACAAAATGGTTCAGTTTTGTTGAAGCCAACTATGAAAAGCATAATTAAAGTGAGATTTAAGGCTTGAAATTCTGGCTACATTGGGGATAGATTCTTTTTTTTTTTTTTTTTTTTTTTTTAGACAGAGTCTCACTGTGTTGCCCAGGCTAGAGTGCCATGGCATCAGCCTAGCTCACAGCAACCTCAAACTTCTGGGCTCAAGCAATCCTTCTGCCTCAGCCTTCTGAGTAGCTGGGACTACAGGCATGTGCCACCATGCTGGGCTAATTTTTTATATATATTTTTAGTTGGCCAATTAATTTCTTTCTATTTTTAGTAGAGACGGGGTTTTGCTCTTGTTCAGGCTGGTTTCCAACTCCTGACCTAGAGCGATCCGCCTGCCTTGGCCTCTCAGAGTGCTAGGATTACAGGCATGAGCCACCGTGCCCGGTCTGTGGATAGACTATTTAAATTAGGCCACGAAACTCTATTTCTGACACATTAAGCAAACAGGTTAGGTGAGCAGGGCATATGGAGAAGAGTTTGGTAAGGATTGGAAGCAACTGGGATGCTTGTTTAAAACACAGATTACCAGGTTCACAAATTTGCTGATTCAGAATCTCTGGAGTAGCCTGGGAATCTGTATTTTTAACTAGGAATTTTTGATCAGGAAAGTTTGGGAAACACTGCCTAAACTTGAGGAGCCATTAAAGAGCTTCAAGAAGTAGAGGAATCTGACCAGAACAGAATTTTTAACATTTGGCAGAGTTGAGCCTGAAGGCAAAGATACTACTGTATAGCTTGAGCAAGAGTTATGATGGTCCAAAATATGGACCCGCTGACAATGGGTATGAAGTTCAGGGACTAAATTTAAGAGACATATTTAAGATTTAGGATGGGAAAGACTTGCTGACTGCATGTTGACACTGAGGGAAGAAGAGAACTAAATGGCTCCCATGTTTCCGACTTAGGGCACTGGGCAGATGGGTTGTTATCAGAAAAGAGAATACAGTCAAGGTAGATTTTGAGAGATCTCTGTAACTAATAAGCAGTTCTCCCTCTTCTAAGAACTTCCCACTCTCAAATGGAAGAGTCCACAATAGTCTTTGTATGATGTGGGTCAATATCTGGTCATAGTTTATTGGCCTAGGATGAACATTTAAACACACTGTGTGAATTAAGTGTTATCTTCTGGGAATTTGTGGTTGGACCAAGAGAAAGTCAGTTTTTAAATGTGGCTAGAATTTTAACCATCTGTGCAGTGGGCAGTCATATTCCACCATGGGATGGGGAAGCAGTGAGAAGACAATAGGAACAGAGGAAAAGAGGGAAAGACTAATGATGCAGGCATACCCCAAAAGAAGAAGCAGAGACTAAGATACAGGGAGAAAGATAAATGGAGTTTTGGATATATGGAGATTTGAAGGATCCATGGAATACCCAAGTGGAAACATCTAGTAAAAGCTCCTTGTTATATGGGTGTGAAAAAGGGGAACGGCTAGGATGAAATATTTGCCTGTGTTTGGCATACAGGTGGAAGTTGAATAAGAATGGCTACAATCACCTAGAATGAGCTTGAGAAAAGAAGATCACTTATATTTGGCTATCTAGATACTAAAATGATTCTGGAGGAAAGTTCCAAGGGACTAAAAATGATCCTTTGGGTGTTGTGGCTAAAAACAGAATGTTCCCTAACTCTTGGAATTATTAAGTATGATTAAGGTCTATAAAGATTATAATTAATCTAATAATACCATAGGTAATGAGTAATGACAGACATTAATAAACAGAAAATCTCTACATGCAAACCAGACGTAGTATTTATTCCAGAGAAGTAAAAACATTCATGCTCAATGTCTTCCATTTCCTCTTAGGAAAGACCGACTACTCAGTGGACAACTTTGATGACTCTATTTGCACTTACTTTACAGAATGCAGAAATTCAGGATGTAATATTACTATAACTGACTTTGCTAAAGAAACTGGAAATGATTTCATAGTTTAGCTACAAATGAGGACCAGAATGCCTCATTGAGTCAAAAACTTTACCACACCTCCCAAATGAGCAGTGGCCCTGGGATTTTGTCTGGGATGATTTCCAAACATGTGTTAAGCATTATTCATTATGGAATTTTGTGTAATAAAGTTTTTTTTATTAAATGATCACTAGGACATTTGTCAATTATGATGGTTTCTTGGACCGTACTTGCTCCATTCCTTTCCTCTTAAAGTCACACATTCCTTTAAAAATGTTTTAAAGTTTAGGGCCCTGAAATGGATGCCATTTTCAGCATGCCACTCCCCTGCCCCCAAATCCATAGTTAATGACATAAAAAAAGGATGGGAAGGAAACACATTGTTTTTTCCAAATTTTCTTTGAGCATGGAATTTATGAGAAAAATGTAATTTGAAATGGCATTTTAAAAAAAAGCATCATGAGTCTATACCTTTTTAGAAATTACTATATATTAAATTTTCAAGCCACACTTGAAGACAACTAAGTTTTTGTAGATATTATTTGCTATTGTCTCAGGTATATTCAGGTATTTGATAATTGTAGTTCTATTTTCACCTGCAAGCATACAGTATAGTCAGTATTGCTTCCTCTGAAAAAGGAAATGCATTTTTTAAAAAAAATTTAGAACTTTATTTTTCATTATTTCAAAATATTAAGGGGCTACAAATGTTTTAGGTTACATGCACCACTTTTGTAATTCTTGAATCCTGGCTGTAGGTGTGCCCATCACCAAATAGTGTCTATTGCACCCGTTAGGTAGGTTTTTACCCCTCCCTTCCTTCCTCCTGGTTGATTTCCACTGAGTTTTACTTCCCTCTGTGCACATGTGTGCTCATTGGTTAGTTCCAATTTAATAGTGAGTACATGTGGTGATTGTTTTTCCATTCTTGAGATATTATACTTCACTTAGGAGAATGGTCTCCAGTTCCATCCAGATTGTTGCAAAAGGTATTAATTCATCTTTTTAATGGCTGAGTAGTATTCCATGGTGTACATATACCACATTTTATTTATTAATCCACTCATGAACTGATAGGCACTTGGGTTGATTCCACATCTTTGCAATTGTGCTGCAATAAACATTCAAGTGTAGGTGCCTTGTTGATGAATAAGGAAAAATGTAGCAAAAACTCTTCTAGTTATTGGCCTAGGCAAAGAATTTATGACTAAGACCCCAATGGCAATCATAGCAACAACAAAATAAGTGGGATTTGATTAAACTAAAAAGCTTCTGCACAACTAAGGAAACAATCAACAGAGCAAATAGAAACCCTACAGAATGGGAGAAAATATTCACAAGATCCAATAAAGGGCTATGTCAAGAATTTACAGGCCGGGCGCAGTGGCTCACGTCTGTAATCCTAGCACTCTGGGAGGCCCAGGCGGGCGGATTGCTCGAGGTCCAGAGTTCAAAACCAGCCTGAGCAAGAGCGAGACCCCGTCTCTACTATAAATAAAAAGAAATTAATTGGCCAACTAATAGATATAGAAAATATTAGCCGGGCATGGTAGCACATGCCTGTAGTCCCAGCTACTCAGGAGGCTGAGGCAGCAGGATTGTTTGAGCCTAGGAGTTTGAGGTTGCTGTGAGCTAGGCTGTGGCCACAGCACTCACCCTAGCCTGGGCAACAAAGCGAGATTTTGTCTCAAAAAAAAAAAAATGAAAGAGAGAGAAAGAAAGAAAGAAAGAAAGAAAGGAAAGAAAGAAAGAGAGAGAGAGAAAGAAAGAAAAAGTTTACAAAGAACTCAAGAAAACAGCAAGAAAAAAACAACTCTATTACAAAATGAGCAAAAGACATGAACAGAATCTTCTCAAAAGAAGAAAGACAAATGGCCAATAAACATGAAAAAATGCTCAATGTCAATCATCAGGGAAATGCAAATTAAACCCACAATGAGATTATCACCTTAACCCAATTGGAATCACTTTTATTAAAATGTCCAGAAACAATAGATGCTGGTGTGGATGCAGAGAGAAAGGAACACTATATACACTGTTGGTGGGACTGCAAATTACTACAACTCCTAAGGAAACCGTATGAAGATTCCTCAAACAACTAAAAGTACACCTACCGCTGGATCCAGCAATCCCACTATTGGGTATCTACCCAAAGGAAACACATTTTTAATGAGTGTTTGTTAAATTACATGAAAAGGGATGGATTTAAGTGTTCAGCCTAAGGTAGTTTTCCCAAACTGTGTCCTGCAGATCACTAACATTCCACAAATTCTCAAAAGCTACTTTGAATACAAAAGAGCCTTGATTGGGTCTTGGGCTGGGAAATAAAAAGTTATAAAAGACATTATATGAGACGCTTGGGAAAAAAATGAATATAGACTATGCTAGGGTTTGAGTGTGTCCCCCCAGAATTCATGTGTTGGAAATTTGGTCCTTGGTATGGCTATGTTGTGAGGCAGCGTTTCAGAGATGATTAAGTCATTAAGAGGGATTCTTGCCAAGACAGGGTTAATTCTCACAGGAGTGAATGAGTTCTTGCTCTTATGGGAATGGAGTAGTTACTGAGGAAGAGGGTTGTTGTAAAGCAAGGCCGCCCCTGGGGTTTTTTTTTTTTTTTTGGAGACAGAGTCTCACTTTGTTGCCCAGGCTAGAGTGAGTGCCCTGGTGTCAGCCTAGCTCACAGCAACCTCAAACTCCTGGGCTCAAGCAATCCTTCTGCCTCAGCCTCCTGAGTAACTGGGACTATAGGCATGCACCACCATGCCCAGCTAATATTTTCTCTATATATTAGTTTGCCAATTAATTTCTTTCTATTTATAGTAGAGACAGGGGTCTTGCTCTTGCTCAGGCTGGTTTCAAACTCCTGACCTCAAGCAATCCGCCCGCCTCAGCCTCCCAGAGTGCTAGGATTACAGGCGTGAGCCACCGCGCCCAGCCAACTCTATTCTTCATAAATCACCCAGTCTTGGGTATTCAGTTATAGCAACAAAAATGCATTAAGACCATGTATCAGATGTTTGTGTATCCATATTAAATTATGAGGGTGTGATAAAGATGTCATGGTTATGGAGGATAATTGATTCTTAGGCAAGTCATGCTGAAGTAATTAGGGGTCTAGTGTCATGATATTTGCAACTTTCAAATGGTTCTGAAAAAACAGTTACATTTATGTATATAAAAAGGGAGAGAGCAAGAGATAAAATTAAATGTGGAAAATGTCGACAAGTGAAGGGTATATTTGCATCAACCTGTAACCAACTCTTCCATAGGTTTAAATAGACTTCTGACTTCTCTGAGAAAATTGGGAAAAAGTATGTAGCATATCCAAACCTATTTAAGCATAGAGTATTTCCAACTTATCTTGCCCCTCAAAGCTACTTTTTTTAATTCACCTCCTCCTACTCCCTCATAGTGCCTTTGCCCTGACCCCGAGTGTCTCTGCTTTCATAATACTCTAACATCCACCTTTTCCTTACTCCCTTAAATTCCTACCTTAATGTTCACCCTTTGATAAGCTGCCTCATTATTAAAATTCTTTCTTACCCATAAGAAGCAATGTCCATTCTTAAAGTTCCTAATTCAGTAGATATGATGAGGAAAACTGTTTGATTAAAAGAATTAAGTCTGCAGCTTGTTTCACGAAAGTATAATTGGTGGAACTGCAGACTTAATAGGAATATAGAAGAATTTTAGGGAGTGGAGGGGAATTTAGGGAGTTACAAGTCACAGAAAGGGCCTGTCTGCTTTACAGCTTTGCTACTGACAGTTCTAGGACCAGCAGTAATGGAATCAGCTGGGAGCTTGTTAGAAATGCAGAATCCTGGTTCCACGTGTCAGAATCTGCACTTTAACAAGATAGCAGGAGGTGGTAGTAGTTTGTATGCACACTGAAGTTTGAGAGGCACTGGTTTACAGTATTCCAGGTAGTGAAGAGGAGAGAAAGTCTCTCTTTAGGTTAAAGTGGAGTCAACTGTTGCTTATGAGAATCTGTAGTCAATGAAGACATATTTTGTTTCTAAGCAACCTTCCTTCTAATTATTGACCCAAGGGGATAAGTGCCACAAATAAAAACTCCATTGTAATTTAATACGTTTGGAGAGGCGGAGGCATTACAAAATGCTTTCATTTAATACAACATTGAAGGGAAGTATAGCAACTGGAAATTAGAAAACTATCTAGGATACTCAGGTACAGCAGTGAGAATAGAAGCCAATGGTTGAATAAAAGATTTCAAACAATATGACAATCAAAAGAAAGTACAATTGTCACAAAATTTATGGGAGGCCATTGTTTTGGACTGAGTTCCTGCACTAGGCCCAACACATCAGACCAAACCAGAATGGAGCACTCAAGCTAAGCACCACACAACCAAGCTGAAGTTTGAAATGGGCCAATTAAAAAACAAACATGGGCCAGGCGCGGTGACTCACGCCTGTAATCCTAGCACTCTGGGGAGCCGAGGTGGGAGGATCATTGGAGCTCAGGAGTTCGAGACCAGCTTGAGCAAGAGCGAGATGCCGTCTCTACTAAAAACAGAAAAAATTAGCCGGGCATGGTGGCGCATGCCTGTAGTCCCAGCTACTTGGGAGGCTGAGGCAGGAGGATTGCTTGAGCCCAGGAGTTTGAGGTTGCTCTGAGCAGGGCCGATGCCACAGCACTCTAGCCTGGGCAACAGAGTGAGGCTCTGTCTCAAAACAAACAAGCAAACGAAACACAAACAGGAGAGTCACCAAAGCTACTCTTAATATCACACAACATGCTAATATTCCAAGGATATAGTCTGGGAAATTTTGAACTAAATACTAAACACTTCTCTAATTTCAACTTGTTCAGTTACTTACTATTTAACGAAACTTTGGCTTTTATTCTTACTTTAAAAATGAGCCTTTACAGGCTTGATCCTTTCTCTTGGAACATTTTATTTAAATATGTTTTAACATATGGTTACATATATGGTTTACATTTTTTAAACAAAAATTAGCATACTGGCATATTAGCTTGACAAGTGGCTCTCTACTGCCAACCAAACAAAACTGAAACACTGGGGGCCATCCCACTCAAGTGACCAAATGCAACCTTTACAAAGTGCTCATTTCCACATAAAATGCATTTCTCTTTGAGAGCTTTATCTTCAAAAAGCTATTCCAAAATCTTAATTTTCCTTAATCTATCACTGATTCCTCTTTAAAGGACTGTGGTCTTAAAAAATGTAAATGTTCTAATTATATAGCAGTAATCTTTTGCTATTGGTCTGATGAATATTTTCCAGAAGAAACATCAATGTCTCGTTGCTTTGCAAATTAATCTTAACTGTGCAGGCTGTTCAGAGATCCTCTTGCCAGGTCTTCATAACTCTGGAAGACATTTAATTTAGCTGGTATTTAAATATTCAGCCTTCAATCACCCACTTTTGTTTGAATTAATCTGAGCATTATTTTTGTCATATGCAAATGAAGATTTTGAAAAATACATATGGATGTTATATATAATTTATTATATATATATATATGCAGATGACATTATACATTCCATGAAAAACAGGCTTTTGGGAATGTTTATGTAGATGTGTTGCAATTCCCTCATGTTCCAACCTCTAAGTCAAGAATTCTTGTTAAAAATTGTAGACTAGTGAAGAGAACTACAAGTCACAATATAACACCTCATGTGTTTAAATTAGAAATATACTTCATGCTTAGAAGAGACTCTTAAGAACTTTGGTTGTTCAGATGCACAGTTTTATCAGAAAGAAATAAAAAATCTCAATTCCAACTTTATCTTAACAGAAGGAAATGAAAAATCCCAATTCCTTGACTTTATGCAAACTCTTTCACAAAAATAATTTGCTGTATTTTAAAATCCGAAGTCTACCTTTCCAAATTTTTTTGTAAATTACTTAATTGCCAATATTGTTTTTTTTTTGTTTGTGGGTTTTTTTTGAGACAGAGTCTCACTTTGTTGCCCAGGCTAGAGTGAGTGCCGTGGTGTCAGCCTAGCTCACAGCAACCTCAAACTCCTGGGCTCAAGCAATCCTACTGCCTCAGCCTCCCAAGTAGCTGGGACTACAGACATGCACCACCACACCCGGCTAATTTTTTCCTATATTTATTAGTTGGCCAATTAATTTCTTTCTATTTATAGTAGAGACGGGATCTCGCTCTTGCTCAGGCTGGTTTTTGATCTCTTGACTTTGAGCGATCCGTGCACCTCAGCCTCCTAGAGTACTAGGATTACAGGCGTGAGCCACCGAGCCCGGCCTATTGCCAATATTGTTATTCATACTATTCATGCATCAATAGATTACAATTTATAACTGTTTCCTTTTTCTTTATCGTTAATTGAATAGAAACTACTGAACTGCCAGTCTATGAAATACTGGAGTCATCCATATCCAATTGGCTGACAGATTCTATGAATTCATTTTCAACTCCACAAACACTTATTAAGCAATTACTATAGTCCAGGCATGGTGCTGAGTGCTAGGAATACAGATCTGGATACGATGATCCACTAACCTAAGGACCGTACTTGGGGAAAACAAAATGGTAAATCTAACCATATAAATGCCAAGTACAGAGTTGGTACAGAGGTACTAATAATTTTGGAGGGAGAGGGGGAGTACAGGGATGATTACTAGAGAAAATGACAACTGAACTGTTTTAAAAACTGTTTAATAAATAGATTTCATCACACAGGTAAAGGGGGCAGGGAATGCCTTTTTGATAAGAGGGTGAGATATAGGAAAAAGCATGGAATTTGCAAAAACATGGGTAGAAACAGCTGAAGCATGAAGTATAAATGGGGAAAAAGGAGATGGCAGGACTGATAGGTGGAGTCAGACTACGAATCTTATATGCCAATTTAAGGGGATTCGATATTATTTTGAAGGCAAATGGGCAGAAAAGAAACAAAATACATTTTAAGGCAGGGGTAGCATGATCACTTATTTTTAAGAATGAAAACTGTGTGAAGAGACTGGAGGGAAAGAGACTAGAAATGGGGATCTTTTGAGAAGCTCTAGTAAGGAGACATCAAGGCCTAAACTAAGCAATACCAGAGGAAATGAAACAGGGAAGCAGGATCTGAGAGGAATTATTGGCTTGACTAGAAGGCAGTCTAGCATAGTGGTATTGAGCACAGCTTTAGAGCTAGACATTCATTTGCCTGCTGTGTAAAACCTAGGAAGTAAGCTAATCTAAGTATCCGTTTCCTCAACCAATAAATGGAGAGAATACTAGTACCTTCCTCATAGGCCTGTTGTACGGATTTAGTGTGCGTGGGGGGTGGGGGGGAGCGGGGGCGGAAGTAATGCACTAAAAGCATTTAGCACAATGCCTAGTGCAAAATGATGCTCAGTTATTTACTATTATTACTGCAACTATCAGGGAGAAGAGATTGAGAATGACTGCCAAGTAGCCTTTGAATTGAGCCTACTTCTGCTTTTCAATCCCACAACCAAGTACCCTGGTTTAGGCTAGTGAGTGGTTCTCAAAATGTGGTCCCCAGACAAGCATCAGCAGCAGCAGCCTCCTGTAAACTTATTAGAAATGCAAGTTTCTAATAAAACCCCACAAAGAACTGCCTCCAGAAAACTCTAGGGGTGGGGACAACAATCTGTATTCTAACAAGCCCTCTCAGGTAATTCTGTTATATGCTGAAGTGTCAGAATTGCTGGTTTAAACATTCATTATCTCTAATCTGAGCTATTACATCAGCCTCTTAGGGTGTCCCTCCTAACAACATCTTTCCCTTAAATTTATCATCCGGATCATTCATTTCCTAAAAAAATAAAATGCCAATGCCACTCCTACACAGACCAGTATATGAATATCGCCTCTAACTTTTATGAAATGTTTGACAAGCTGACTTAACCCACTTGGGCCTTAGTTCGCATATGTAATAAGAGAACATCAAATATAATATTAACTAAAATGGCACTGCTTTATAATTGGTGGTGGTTTGCACCTATTATTTCATTTGGTCCTCATAACATAGAAATACAACTATATCAAAATTAAGATCCTGGATTAAAGCTATCTGACTTGATAATAGAGTCAAAATTAGAACACATATCTCCTAACTCTGAATTCTGGTTCTTTTTAATCAGACCAGGCTGTTGCCACACTATTAATATCAAGAACATTGTTCCAAATTACAAAATTACATTTCAGTATTGTCGATTTGATACACTTATTTCCAAAAATGAAAATTCATACTCTTTACAGATGGTTGAAGTTACATGGAAATTTTTTCAATAGTATTTTAGCAAAAATTAAATCATAAAATAAATATATGTACCTGTTATCCAAATATTTATCCTGAATACGGAAATAGTTGAAATAAAAAAGCAATTCCTTTATTTTTAAGCTTTATTTTATCACTCTTATCAAACACACATCAGAAAGCATATCAACAGTGCATCTTATGGTAAGTCAGTTTACACCAAAACTGAACAAGGCAATTGTGTTTACAGAAAAAGTTTTCAGCAAAAAAGTATGCAATACAGTAAATTGAAACACTGTGTTCATACTTGTTAGGTATATAGGAAAGTGGAAAATAAAAGGCTTTTGCTACTCAGCAAGAAAAAACAAGTTTAAAAGACTAGAATGTAAATCAAAAATTTAGGGATTTGAGAAAAGAACTTCCTGGTACTGACACACATCTACATTTATAGTCCCACTTAGTTATTTAATTTTTTTAAAAAAACAAATGTCACAAACAATAAGGCATCACAAAGAACAGAGAACCATAGTGCCAAGAAATGCCAAGACCAATATTCTATTGAAACAACTGGTAGAAATGTTATAGACAATATTCACTATGTATTATAATATTCTTGTAGTTCTGAGGTGAAGGTAAACCAACAGGAGAGAATACTCCTTATAACTGGCTTTGGTTTAAGTGATCTTTCACATTTTTTCTAACCATACCTTCTTATCAAAAACATAGTAATTACATGTTACTGAGGGAACATAGTACTAGGTTTTAATATTCACAAGCAACCACTCCAGTGCTGACACACGACACCATAAACTGTTAAAATTTATTGATCATAACTGGATTTCTAGGAGTGATCCAAAGATAGCAAAGATGGAGCCCTTTTTGGGAAAAATAAAGTCCCTTCTACCCCAGATTTGACATTGTTAAGAGGATAGATATAAAGGAATGTTAAATTATTTAAGATTTTTCAAAAGAAAATTAAGAATGAAAGAGTAAATCCTTCTGGAAAAGACAGGACAGTTTTACACTCTGCAAAGCAAATATTCTAGAGGTCCAGCTTAACTTTTTTCTTATTTTAATAAATAAACACTACTTAGCTCCATAAGGTGCTATAACTTTGCAGCTAGTGCATACTAATGCCACCCACTGTACCCAATGTGCAAAGGGAAATACGGAGATGGCTAATCCCCAATTTCTTTCTGATCCTTGATTTGCATGAGTGGTAATGTACACTAAATACAAAAAAGCTGAAGTACAAATCTGTATTTTTAAAAATTAGGCAAAACTAAGTATGGGTATTTAATATGGTTTCACAAATTCTGACAATAATTTTCTGGGGAAACAATAATGAGGAATGTGTAGGAAAGGCAATGTTTCTATGGTACAGGTACCAAACCTAGATTTTAAAAATAAACATCATTTTTAGATCATTAACTATATGGAACATTACTAATACCAGTAAGGGAGCCATTTTCTTCCCCTGATCTCTCTTTTTATTACTTATCTTTCTCCTCCTTACTCTTAAATTCAGCAGTCTTCTGACAACCCATGCTAGTAAAATAATATAGAACTGAAGAGATTTGAGTCCATATATGCATGATTTTAGAATACCTCACCACATTTGCTTTTACATATTCTTTGTCCTAATATCATGAATATTATTAAGAGGAGAAAGCAAGGAAATGTAATTCCAACCTGGGATGAAAAAGTGATTACAAGTAATTCTCTTGCTGAGAGTCAAGAGCTTATGGCAGCAAGTAGCTCTGATTTTTACATAGGGGTTCCCTCCAACTCCCCAAAAGAAAAATGAACAATTCTAGTTGGTTTTTCTTTCCAGAATGTGACTTATTTTCATTATATAATGTAGTACAACAAAATAAGCTCTCTTCTGCACAAGAATGATCATATAAGGCAAATAACAATGCTTTTCTTTGCCTTTAAATTAAAATACTATGAACCTAGGTCACAAAATAAGCATGGCCTTTGGAAGAGCCATTAGTTTTTTTTCAGATTATTGTGATAGCTACCCAATTTACTGGGAAACAAAACCCAGGCAATCATTTGATTAGTTTCCCATGAATTCTAGCATTTATGGTACCATAACCACAACTATCTTGATTATGACAACTCTCTGAAAGGCGCACATAAAACAAACTTAAAGCATTAATCCTCATAAGTAGTATAAGGAACAACAAAAGTGCTGAGCTGTAGGAAAATGAATAAAAATTTCATCAGGAGAACAAAGTCTGTATAAACTATGTATCTTACATCCTGAAGATCACCTTAATGGCCACCTATAAAATATAAAATTTCCTAAATGCTCTCTGGTTTATAGATATTTCTTTTACAGCCAATTTCTCCTATAAAATTACAGCAAAAATAGTTAAAATTATTTACCTTCTTCTTAAATATCCATAGAACTTACTTGTCAACTGCATGCCACTATGTGAATCTACTAGTCATCATATAATTTAAAAAATAGTGAAAAACATCTGGGGGAAGTGGCTAGTATAAGGAACATGAGAAATTCTGCAGTATCAGGTAGAGAAGCAGCTAACTAAAACAAAACAAAGCAAACAAAATCTTAAACATTTTGGGTATTCTAAAAACTAAAATATTCATGTTTCTCTATGATTAAGAATAGAACTTATCTAAACATACTACGAGAGGCTCAGATGAGCTCCATATGATGGAGACAACATTTTTATATTCATTGCAAAAGCTCCTAAGTGAAAGATTACCATCTTGAAAGATTACCATCTCAAAATAAAGGTGATTTGTTGAGCACCTTAAGAAGAAATGGGAATTCTTTTGAGCTAATTGTGACCAAGGACTGGTCTGTATGTGACTATAATCGATAATAAATAAAATAAATAATATCAGAGAGCTAGAATATTAAGATTTGAGGAAGGAACCTGATATTGAAAATGAAACTAGATGCAAGAAAGAATTAAATTCTGCCAGATAACTCTGGCTTTTCTATCATATGTAGTATCAGAATAAAATCAAATATGAATAGTTTTACACATACCAAATAAAATGTAAACCAAGGAAATTTTGGACTTTTATACTATGTGACTCAATCTAAAAGTTATTCCAAGAGAAAGGCAGAGGTGCAATTAATTAGCGTCATCTGGGAAGCTTTCACCCAAATGAATTTTAATTATTTCCAGGAAACACAAGGCACTTGCTTAAATCTTTAACTGTCTATATATCCATCAGACAAAAAGTCATGATGTGATTCCATCTGTACCCTAATCTGAATAAAGCCACCTGGCATGTACCCTTGCATAAGAGTTTAGGTAAACACATGAATACTGAGTGTCTCCCCTACTCCCTCACCCAGTAACTATGTTATTATAGTTACTATCAGTTACAATGGTGCTGATTTTTATTAAATTAATCATAAAAAACAAAATGTCATGCTGCCAAATGTAACTGATAGTAGAAATTATGTAAAAATAAGCCAAATTTAATACAGTCAGAAAATAAGACCTAAGAAAATGAATTCAAAATGTTAGTTACCTGCATTTGATGAATGAACTAAAGCCATGAAACAGCATCTGATAAGTGCTCTAACTCTACATTTAATTTATTCCAGAAAAGTAACTGATGCCCTTAGCAGGGTGAAAGTCCAGTGTAATAAGATAGAAAAAAGGCATATGCCCACAGTTTCTCTTTAGCTTCCTCTACATGGCAGCACTGTTTCTGGCAGCATTCCTTATAATAAATTTGCTCAAAAGTTAAAATATAAGTAACAAGAATCTAGAAGACAAGTTAAATAAGAATTCAGAGATTTTCTTTTAAAGGTTAATTTAACATATCTCAGCACTCTTTAGCAGCTGGAGTACCAAAAAGAAGGCAATATTTTCTCTCAATGCAAACAAAGAGAAGGATGAATAAAACTATATTTATGGGTTTTGTTCTAAGAGCAGCTATAGTTTTGGCTCAAGGCATAGCAGAAAGGGAATTTCTCTAAGAAGAGTTGCTATATTGATGGCCAAAAGCAAGGAAGACATCCAGTGGTAATAAATGCAGATCTCTTATTGCAAGAAGATAATTTTTTTAATCCCTTTAAAAGGCAGTCAATACTTACTCCTAGCTAGTGCTATCTCTTACTGAGCTGTCCAACTCTACTTATTGTTCTCCTCTAAATACAACATTACAGTTTTCACAGTGGCTAGCTAGCCACCGTCTCCAAATATGTTTCTAAAGAATCAAAAGTTTCCTATAGAATAATCACTTTCTATGCCTTTTCGGGGGCAAACTGTGTCATAGCAATACCACAGAACAATAAAGAAGTAATTGGGAAGGTGAGAGGCAAGGAAGCACAGGTATTAATTTAGAAAATCTACCTGAGATAAAATTTGCCCAAAGGAGTAGAGGTTACATTACATGAACCTTCACCTCATTACCCTGCCTCTCAAAAAGAAAATTTAGAGATTTTCAATAATTATAAGAATCAAAATCCCTATGTATGTATTTCATCTTAAAAGAATCATGAAAATTGCATCTTCTGATAATATTTGGTTCCAGTTTAAGAAAGATAGTAAGATTAAATTTCTGATACTGTCAGAGGAGGGAGGGAGAGTCTGCTAACATTATCTTTGGTAGAAAGGGCTAAGAGTTATAAAATGACAATTTAAATCATAGGAGGCATCTTTTTTCAATTCTGTGACTTTAACATAAAGTATTTAATTCAATGCATGGTTAATTCAAGGCTCATCAATTATTCCCTCAGCTCCCTTAACATCTAGTAGCATCTTCTGTAAAAATATTCTACAGTGTTAAACACTAAAATACGTATGACTACATCAGCAATAAGATGACGATCAAAGAATGCTGTTAACCTCAGCATTAAGATGTTAGCAGCATACTGCATGACTAAGCTTAAAAGCCTACCTGCAGTTTATTTGTAAGGATTTCTCTTTTCAGGGAAGGGGGTGAGAAAGTTACATGTGCTAACCTAGTATACTTGCCCTTAAAAAGAACTCACTAGTATTCTGTATTCATCAGTATGTATGTAAAAACCTGATGTTTCTAATAACCACAAAAGGAGCTATCCATATAAACATTTATGTTTTAGGAGAGCTTAGGTCTTTACAATACTGGTTCTACTCTCATGAATTTTGACTTGCAAACGAACTAGCTAATCAACCTCTGAAAGGGCCAAAATAAAACATAATAGTTATTCCTTCTAAGGGCACATATTGGGGACCATGCCACAAGACCCTTTGGTAATTCATAAATCAGCCTCCTTCTACCAAATTTGGCTTCATAATAAATATTAAAAGAGAGTCCTCAATAACTCAGTAACTGTAAATAACTAAAATGTCAGTGACTGAATAGAGGAAAATAATTCATTCTCTAAAATGTAAATTCTAATTGAACTCTCAGTAATCTGCATGGCACATACAAGGAAAGATTTTATGAGGTGGCTTAAAGCAGAGAAAGATAAAAGACTTTTTCCTTAGGAAAAATTAATAAATAAAATTTTCATTCAGGTGAGGAAAACAGGCAAAAAACTCATAATCTGTATACAACTTGCTTTTTTCTTTGTATAATCAGTGCTTTATAAAAGTTTCCTAATTTTTATACCTTTAAAGACAATCTACCATAAAGTAAAAATAATCCATAATTATAATTCTTAAAACCATGTTATCAAGCTGGGTCCATGTACTTGTGTACACTGGCATCCTCTTCTCAGGGACACATTAAATTGCTATAAATTCTTTTAAGAATTCTTCTGAGTTTTTCTTCCTTTCAACGTCTACCTTATTATATCTATATCTTTCCTAATTTCCTTGCAGTCAAAAGCCAGACTACCCAGGATGCTGGTCCTCTAGCTTTTCTTCAGCTACACATAGAGGCAGAGAATGAGGGAAAGGAGAGGAGAAGGGGGAGGGGACAATGAGAGAGACAGAAAGGAAGAAAAAAGAATCCTTGACTATTTACCTTCTCTTTGACTATTTTTCTTTTCCCTTCACTGTATATTTAATTCTTCTTTTTGACCCACTCCAATTTTCCATCATAGTAGGTACAGCCACATCTTGAAAAAGCTTACAATTATAGGAGATTTAGTACAAAATAGATGAGCCAATACAAGGTCTACGGTAGACTGAAGGATGGGGTGATTTATAGGTAGCAAAACTTTTTCTTTGTTCCAATCACTTTAAGAGTTTCAATGTAACCCTAGGCTAGAAGCCAGTTTGCTCTGAGCCTCTCAGGAATGAACTGTTTTCTCATTTACATTCTATCAGACTGACCAACTCTCAAAATACTATATCTTACAGATGTGAAAAAGGTGGGGAAGAGATGGGTATAGACATAATTAGCTCACAAGATTCACACTATAAAGTATACTGACTCACATTTTCTCGAATCTTTCACACCTGCACTCACTCAAGCATACATACTAGACATAAAAATTGTGCAAGATCAAGCATCAGCTTTCTATTTTAAAAGCCTTAATAAAAAAAAATGTAGATAGGCTCACTGCAGTTTCTTTAAAGGAATATTCAGTACTACAGTACTCCTTTAAAAAGATTCACAACTCAGTGTTAAGAACACAGTAGGTAACTGCTGCTTGACAATTACTTAACAATACTGAGAGCATCCAGTACCAGCTATGGATATCAACAATAAGGAAGAACCATCTGACAACATAAAGGAATAATCTCTAAGTGATGTCACCAACCTTAACAAATTTGTTAATAATATTCACTACAACATATTCACCCTTGCTTCACGGTCACATGAGATAATTAATTTCTTTTTAGGTTACATACTAAAGAGCAGCACCTGCCCTACTGCACAAAAAAAAAAGGTTGCCCACATGGATGCTCTAGAACCCCTCAATATATAGCTGAGGGGTCTTGTCCTACTCAGTGCCAAATGTTTGCGATGCAGTCACTGCTTGGGCAATGGCTGCACATTAGTAGGATTAAATAAATGTAAAAAGTACTCCCTTAAAATGGTAAAGGGGTACTTCTGCATTCAGATGTGGAATACAATAACCCAGGAAATGGAAGAGGAGAAACAGGAAATAGTCCTTAGGTTACTGATTAAAGCAAGGTTTGATACAGATATCCCCTCTTGTAGGCACTCAGTGGGTAGAATGTAGCCACAACAAACTTTCCATCAAACATCCTTCCAGTTAGTAATTTCTGAGCAGCTTTGGAATCACCAGCATTTGCATACTCCACAAAGACCTGAAGGAGGACAGAGAAAACAAAATAATATCATTTCCACCAAGATTGTTTTAGATCAGTGCTTTACCAACTCTAAGATACATATAACACTTGGAGATCTTGTTAAAATGCAGATTTTGCTTCCATAGGTCTAAGGTGAGGCCTGAATTTTTGCATTTCTAATCAAACCTTCAGGTTATACCAATCTGGTCCACGAACCATACTTTAGAACAGCAAGGTTTAGAATACTTCTTTTTTTTTTTTTTTTTTTTTTTTTTTGAGACAGAGTCTCACTTTGTTGCCCAGGCTAGAGTGAGTGCCGTGGCGTCAGCCTAGCTCACAGCAACCTCAAACTCCTGGGCTCAAGCGATCCTTCTGTCTCAGCCTCCCAAGTAGCTGGGACTACAGGCATGCGCCACCATGCCCGGCTAATTTTTTCTATATATATTAGTTGGCCAATTAGTTTCTTTCTATTTATAGTAGAGACGGGGTCTCGCTCTTGCTCAGGCTGGTTTCGAACTCCTGACCTCGAGCAATCCGCCCGCCTCGGCCTCCCAGAGAGCTAGGATTACAGGCGTGAGCCACCGCGCCCGGCCTAGAATACTTCTTTACAATTCAGTTCAATTCTGAAAAATCCATCAAAGACAAGTTGGGTGAAGGATGTACGCTTTTGCCAAGTACATACAAGAGTGATGCACAGTACTATACACTTGCCAAAGGTAAGGTTGAACAGCCCAGAGAGCAACTGCATTTCAAGGGTGCCTAAAAGATAATCTGTACTTTTAGAAGTAGAAGAAGAAAAAATATTGTTCAAAAGCTGCTGGAAATTATACCTATTAAAATATTTGTGGAAACTATAAGCCACAACTATAGTAAGGATGAAGTTTAAAACTAGGTAATTTCCTTTTCCAGAGCATCTGAATTCCTACCTGGGATAGAAATATAATTTACAAATTCTTTTTGTTTTGACCTAAAGCAAAAGTTATAGGTAGGCAAAATGATTTGAAATGATTTGTCCTCAGTTGCCCTGTAAACCAGTGAATAAGATAAAGAACTGCCTCTCACTCCTTGGTTGTTTGCCTCATTCATTATGGCAAGTCCTTGAACTGGTGTTCCAGCATCCTAGGGCACTCAAACACTTTCTAGGGGATGTGAGAATAGATCATTTTAGAAAATCAATTTCCAGATCCTCAACTTTCATTTATATCTTTTCCTAAAATCAATCTACCTACAAGTTCAGGCGGATTATCCTTTTTCATATCCCCTTTCGTAGGAGCCTTTCTTCCCACTTGACAAAACAAAGTTATTTCCACAGGGTATAAAAACTACCAAGGCATGAAAAAAAATTCTTAATATAGTACCTTATTTCTTATTGAATCCTCCTTCATTAATAAACATAGCCCCACACCCTGCCTATGACTGGTCATTAACTATTTTATGCAAATATTTCTGTTATGGGTGATATATGACATGAGACCTAGGATATTTTGGGCCTGTGACAGGATTTTCTGAATTCGTATGTACTGAAAAATGGAGAGGTGGGACTGATTTTGCCTCTTCCACCCCATGATTATTTTCAAGCTACACATAGCTCTTAAAAACAAAGTAGAGACCACCCAATATTAAAAAGTGTTTTTTTCACATATATTAAGGTAAGTGGCATTTATCAGCTATTCTTAAAACCCATCCCTAAACTGTAACATTACCTGAAACTAAAAGTACTTCCAAATGGCCAAAGTAGAATAGTCAGTCAGGCTTTTTAAGTGAAACTGCTTGGGAAAAATGCTATTCATAAAACTTAATGTGATCTTTTTCAGAGTAAGGTACTTCATATAATAAAACCTCGATTATTGAACTATATACTGAAATATATACTTGGTTAATGCTCATTTTATTTCACCTTAGAAATATTTTATAGCTATTTTTCCAAAACAATAAAAGTAGATGTTGGCTTTTTCATTCAATATAAAAAGAAAGTTAGAACATGATGTCCAATGAGAACAACGAATCTATTTGATTTTTTACCTGATCAATTACTCCCAAACGTATACACCAAAGTTCAATAAATGAGTAGACATGCATTTAGAGAAAATATCATGTTTTTTTATCATACTCCTTGCTTACAGATAACCTATAATTTTGCACACCACATTATTCCACACAAAGAGCAAATTATTTTTATAATTTATTATGAAATTAAATTATATTAGAGCTATGTTATTTTAATTTTAGACTTTTTGTAATTATACAAGATGCATTCATAATTTATTAATATTTTTCAGTGGCTTTTATATTTCTTTAAAAAATCATGTTTATTTGAATTGTAAAGTTCAAATGAAAACTGGCTTTGTCAACTAGGTAATGGACATTTTCAATAAGTTAAATAAATTAAATTTGTGATTCCAAGAGGCTGCTTTCACTCTCTCTTAAACATCAGCGGAAACTTCTCAACATTGCAAATTTCCTCTCTCTGATACTTTTTTTTTTTTTTGAGACAGAGTCTCGCTTTGTTGTCCAGGCTAGAGTGAGTGCCGTGGCGTCAGCCTAGCTCACAGCAACCTCAAACTCCTGGGCTCGAGCGATCCTTCTGCCTCAGCCTCCCGAGTAGCTGGGACTACAGGCATGCGCCACCATGCCCGGCTAATTTTTTATATATATATCAGTTGGCCAATTAATTTCTTTCTATTTTATAGTAGAGACGGTCTTGCTCAGGCTGGTTTTGAACTCCTGACCTCGAGCAATCCGCCCGCCTCGGCCTCCCAAGAGCTAGGATTACAGGCGTGAGCCACCGCGCCCGGCCTCTCTGATACTTTTTTATTCACATTATCTTTAAAAGTACATACTTCTCTCCTGAAATTATTTCTCCTGTTTCTCTATTCTGTGTCATCCATTTCATTTTGGCCATTGGGATTAATATTGAGTCAGATCATATTAGTTCCTGATTCAAAATCTTCCAATACCTTCTCCTCATTCAGAGTAAAAGTCAATGTTATCTCAATGCCCTACAAGGTTTATTCTACTTGAGCCACATCCCCTAAACTGCTTTTTGATCTAATCTTCTACCATTCTTCCCCTTTCTCTCTCTCTGACAACCACACTAGCCTCCTCAAATCTATTAGGCATAACTGCTGTTTCTTTTGCCTGGAATTCTCTTCCTCACTTTTTCTAAACCTTGACTCAATTGTAAGCTTCTCAGCATGTCCTTCCCTACTACCATTCTGGAAAGTACAACTCCCCTTACCCCAGTTTTCCTTAAGCCTCTTCCTCAATCTATTTTCTCCCTAGCACTTATCACCATTTATTTTTTTGTCTGATTTGATTATTTTATCCTAAGTGCCTAGAACATAATAGATGCTCAGTTAATATTGGTTAAATGACTAAACAGCATTTAGCATGTTCCTGACACTGAATGAAGTAAATGCTATTATTACTAGATTGGCAATAATTTTTCACTAAGACTAAAATAAAATTTCTTCAATATTTTTTCAGTTGCCAAGAATTTTCATAGTACTAAGTCATAAGATAATATAATAATCTACAACCAGAGTCAATTTCACCCCTCAAAGGATATCTGGCAATGTCTACAGGCACTTTTGGTTGTCACAATGGGGGTGGGGGGACATTTAGTGGGTAGAGGCCAGGGATGCTGCTAAACATTCCATAATATAATGTACAGAACAGCTTCTCCAACAAAAAATCAGCAGGCTCAAATGTCAATATGTCAAGATTAAAAAACCCTGAGATAAAGTAAAATAATATTCTGTTTCTCAAAAAATAAACTACAGATAAACTGAATATTTTCTTATATTCTGTCATACAATTTACAAAATTTCTGAAGAAAATGCTGTGATTACAGTTTTAGGCCATACATTTTATAGATGGAGGAATTGAGGATCATGACAAAGCTATTAACACTGAGACCAGGATCTAGGATTCTCAGTCCAGCACACTTTCCTTCTTTAAATTACTACTGATAATTTGTATTACAATGAGAACCTAACCTGATTTTCTAACTCTACTTAATTAGAACAAAATTGAACCAAAATATTCCTTTAGCTGAACTTGATATAAATTAGCATGATTTAGATTTCAGTTTCTTGAGCAAAGAAAAAAAAAAAAAATAAATAAAAATAAAAAAAAAAAATAAATTAGCATGATTTAGTTGGTGCCACTGTTTACAACAGTTCAAAAGTAGATTAATACTTCTTTAAAAACAAATTTTAAGTGATTAAAAAATATAAGCATATTACAGAACTTTTAGAAAAAGTAGAAAGCATAAGAAAATAAAAATCATGCAAAATTCATAATCCTTAATAAAATTTGTGTATATCTTTCTACAGAACTAAAACATTTAACAACTTTAATAACCTCGGAATAACTCTACAATTACAAAAACATTCACTTACTTGTCCTCTGCCAGGATTTTCCTTTGGAACAAGTAGAGATACCACTGGTCCATATTTTTGACACTCCTCTTTTACATCTTCTACAACATCTGGTTATTAAAACACATAACAGTAACTGCTTTGATGTAATTAACAAGCATCCAATATTTTACAATTTTAAATCATCAAAGAATTCAGAAATATATATCCTAATAAGGTCATTTTCTGTATCTACTAAAATTAAGCTTTATGAATATAAATTCAAAGCATTTAAAATTTTCTTTTTATATTTTAAGCTTAATGTTCTGAATAGCTGATACATTCAAATAATTCAAAATTAAAAAAAAATAACATCTTCCTCCCACCTTCTCAACTGCCATTCCATTCCCCATTTTGAAGGCAACAAACATCATTTCTTCTGTATTCTGCCATAATTATAAGTGTACACAGGCAAATATGATTATGTATGCTATAAGTAAAAAATTCCAATCTTGCTTTTTCTTTATTAAACAACATATCTTTAAGATCTTTCTATATCATTACATAAAATTTTCTCATTTGTTTTTATGGTTGTGAAGTATTTTACTCTATGTATGTTCAATAAACTAATATGGCCTTTATGTAATTAAATTATAAAACTATTTCCAAACTTTTTGCCATTAAAAACAATATTGAATAGATAAACCTGCATATAACTTGTTTCACTTGTGTATGTCTAAGTTGACATGCTAGAAATGGAATTGCTGGATCAAAATTGACATGAATTTGTAATTTTATTAGAATTACCAACTTGTTTCTTCATGCAAGTTTACCAATATAAATTCTCTCCAGCGATATATGAGTAGGTCTGTTTTCCTATCCCCTTACCCACAAGAGGATAATTAAATGTTTTCATCACTGTTAATGTGGATAGATAACAAAGATATTGTAGTTTGGTTTTAATTAACATTTCAATAACAAGTGAGTCTGAAAACACATGTAAAAAGCATTTGTATTTCTTGTCCTATAAACTGTCTGTAGTAATAGCTGTAAATATTTTTTCTTAAATTATCATTTGTCTTTAGATCTTTCTTAGGGTAGTTTTTGTCAGTGTAGAATTTGTTGAATCATTATTTTATTGCTTCTGAGTTTTTGTACCATATTTGAGAAAAGCCTTTCCCACTCCAGGAATATTAAAAAATAAAATTTTCCAATGATATTTTAAATTTAAAAAAATTATTTCCTTTATTCTTTCTTTCTTACTTGCCCTACTTCCTTCCTTTCCCATTTCATGAAAATTCCCTCACTTGTTTTTTTTTCAAGTATTTTAATCTTGACTTAAAATTTATTTTGGTCTACAATGTAAAGTTTGAATTTAACTTCCTTCCCTGCCCCCATATCAAAATTATAAGATAGCTGTTCCAACACATAATAATTTCTAGCTAAGCAACTTACCTATAACTAATACATGTTATTTGATGATGATCCTACTAATCAGAACAAAGGTATTTAATGGTACTATATTATCTATTGTACTTTAGATCATGTGGAGACTCTTAAACACAAACATTTAACAGCAGTATTTATGCAAAATTTAAATATTCATTGTATTTAGAAGCAGAAAAAAGTATTACACAGCAAAGTACAAAGAAAAGAATACAGTCTCCCAAAGTTTATTCAAAAAAGCCCAATCTTGAGTTTTGTAGAGATTAAAATTGTGTGGAGTATAGAATGAGGTGATGAAGATGATGACGAAGTAGTAGACAGGTTTAAAGGACATAAGTAGTATTTTGAACTGATATTAAGAGATTATTTAGAGCCACTGTACCTTAGTGATCTGACTAAAACAATGCTGAGGGCAATACTTTCTTTTAGATAAATAGACATCCTGAAAAGTTGAGAGACTGGAGACTCTTACAATTGTCACAGACTCAAAGAGAGCACCTTTGTTTCACTCGGCAGATAACTACATTAAAGCTCAAGGACATGAAATGATTTATTCTCACAAGAGGTATTCTGGTAAAATTAGCCTTATTTGTAATGTTTTAATTTTCTACAAGGGAAACATTAAATATTAAGCAATTGATATTTTGAAATAGAAAAATATTAATAAAGGAGCTTTAGAGACATACAGACCTGGCTCTTTTAATTTCTATTATTAGGTTGGTACAAAAGTAACTGCAGTATTGAACAGTGAATTTTAACTCACTATATTAATAACTAGGCTCAAACACATCTTTATTAGTCAAAATAGGAAGCATTACAAGCAACACATTTTTGTCAATGAGAAATACGTTTGTTTATTCCTATAGGGTAAAAAATCCATGCTTCAGGATTCAACGAACTCTTAGAAAGCATTTTATGCATCCTGCTAGTTGTGGAAGCATTTTTCCTGCAAAAAGTTGTGGAGATGCTTGAAGAAGTGGTATTCAGTTGGCGAGAAGTCAGGTGAATATGGTGGATCAGGCAAAACTTCGTAGCCCAATTTGTTCAACTTTTAAAACACTGGTTGTACAACACATGGTCAGGCGTTGTCATGGAAAACAACTGGGCCCTTTCTGTTGACCAATTCCAGTTGCAGGCATTGCCATTTTCGGTGCATCTCATCCATTTGCTGAACATACTGAGATGTGATGGTTTCAATGGGATTCAGAAAGCTGTAGTGGATTGGCAGCAGACCACCGAACAGTGACCATGAGCTTTTTCTGGTGCAAGTTTGGCTTTGGAAAGTGCTTTGGAGCTTCTTCTCGGTCCAATCACTGAGCTGGTTGTTGTATAAAATCCACTTTTTGTCACACATCACAATGCAATTGAAAAATGGTTCATTGTTGTTGCATACAAGAAGAGAAGATGACATTTCAAAACGATGATTTTTTTTTTTTCTGGCAGCTCATGAGGCACCCACATAAAGAGCTTTTTCACCTTTCAAATTTGCTGCAAATGCTGAATGACCATAGAATGGTCAATGCTGTTCTTCAGCAACTTCTCGTGTAGTTGTAAGAGAATTAGCTTAGATGATCATTCTCAGTTTGTTGTTGTCCACTTCCAATGGCCAGCCGCTGTGCTCATCTTTAAGGCTCTCATCTCCTTTGCAAAATTTCTGGAACCACCACTGTACTATACTCTTTTTTTTTTTTTGAGACAGAGTCTCACTTTGTTGCCCAGGCTAGAGTGAGTGCCGTGGCATCACCCTAGCTCACAGCAACCTCAATCTCCTGGGCTCAAGCAATCCTACTGCCTCAGCCTCCCAAGTAGCTGGGACTACCGGCATGAGCCACCATGCCTGGCTAATTTTTTGTATATATATTTTTAGTTGGTCAATTAATTTCTTTCTATTTTTAGTAGAGACGGGGATCTCGCTCAGGCCAGTTTCGAACTTCTGACCTTGAGTGATCCGCCCACCTCGGCCTCCCAGAGTGCTAGGATTACAGGCGTGAGCCACCACACCCGGTTGTACTATACTCTTAACTGCTATACAAAATTGCCTCTCTAGTAATAGTACTAGGTTGATGTAAATACTTCACGGCTATTGACCTTGGTCCAAGTTTGGCCCTGCTTTAGTGCATTCCCCTCTACTTCCAGAATGTTCCTACTAAAATATAAGTTTGATTAGATCTTTCTCCTACTTACAATTTTTAATAATTCCTTACTGCACTAAACAAAGAACAAGTATTCATTGAGTAGTTACCATAAGCCAGGGACCATTCTATATTGATAAAAAATTCTTTCTTTTTTTTTTTTTTTTTTTTTTTTTTCTTTTTAAACACATTGGTACCCACAAAAAAAATTCTTTCATGTAGGTTATGTTCCAGTGTTATTATGCCTGGGGTAAAAATCCAAATTCTTAAACATAGCAAATAAGTTTGTACTCTGGCTACCTCTTTAGCTTTTAACTGACCAGATTATCATGACTATAATTATATATTTTTTAATTTGTCTCCTCTACTATACTAAAGACAGGGAATAATCCCACAATGGCACATAGAAAGTACTTAATAAATATGTCCTGAAAGAGTGAGTAGTTAAAAGCAAAAAAGAAAGCTCAAATGGAGAAATAAAAACATAAAGAAGGGCTAGAAGAGACAGACCAGAGAGAGAGAAGTTGCTGGGAAAATTAATATTCTTTATTGATTTGGTAAAGATGATATGTAAAAGAATCAAAAGGACATTATAAATTAGGGAAATATGAGAATCTTATGAATAGATAAATCCATTCCAGACTTAGTTAAGAAAGATGCATTGGAATATAACTTAGAAAACACTAACCTTCATATTCTTCTTCATTCTCCAGATAATCATCATCCAACACATTCAGCAGTCTTAGCACTGGAGTAGGAAGCATCACCAGATCTTCAATATGAGGGGCTGTTAAAGTTCATCATAATATAGTTAAATATAAATCCCCCAAAATAAGATGGTGAACACAGGGCAAAAGAGCTTGGGAATATAGATTACTCCTGATATCTTACTTGAATGTCAAATAACCAAGAAATCCAAAACCTTTTTACCAAAAAAAAAAAAAAAAAAAAAAAAAAATGACCAAGAAAAAAATAAAAGACATATACAACTTACCAAAAGGAATGCTAAAGAATGGGCTGCACAATGCCATTTCAGCAGGAATTCTTCTGCTTGGATCATCATGAAGCATGCTAAAACATGAAAACAGGTATTTTTATAATTACTGCCAAATCTTTTGAAAATGCAACCATTAACAAAAATAAAAATGTCTAAATGTTTATCACAGCATTAATTATATTAGCATGATTTATTCAATCATTCACATGTAAAAAATATAAATGCCATTTACTAGCAAATGCTTCAATAAATCATGATACATACTTATAACATTATACTGTGATCTTAAATAATGTTTTTGACTAATAAATGAAACATGGGAAGTGACCCAAACTCTGTAACAGAGAGTGAAAAAAATTAGACACAAATTTAGGGTAATGCAATTAAAAAAAAAAAAGTGGCGGGATGATGACTGAATCTTGTCAAATATCCCTAATAATAAAGCAACTTGATAGCAAAACCAAAAAACCCACAGACAACATCTATAACAAAACTATAGGGACACACCAAATAGCCAAAAACCACACACAGATGCACACATTAACCTACTACTTAAGATACAGATATGAAACAGCAACATGAATCAAAATTTAGAAAATCTCAAAAATTAGGTTATAGAACTCAGGAAAGAATTAGAAATTTAAAAATTTTTCATAAAATAAGATTATGCTAGAAGAGATATTAATATAAGAATGAATAAATACAATAGATAATATAGAAGGCAGAAGGGAGAAAATTTTTAAAAAATCAAAATGAAATAATGAAAGAGATAATACGGATTTAAGAGAAAGGGATAATACTAAATATAGGTAAAGAAAATCAAACATATATGTAGACAAGACCTGAAAAAGAAAAGAAGAGAACAGAACAAAAACTAAAATTTAAGAATATTTTTCAAAAACAAACAAAGACCTGAACTACATATTGAAAGGCATACCTTGTTCCTAAGAACTAAGAATATTTACCTAGAACAATCAAAATCAAGATATATTGTGGTAAAATTACCAGTCTTTAAAAGAAAAAGATGAAATCCTTTGGGCATCTGGACACAGAGACCAAGTAACTTTTAATAAAAAGACAATTAGTGAGTTATCAAACTTTTCAATAGAAACATTGTATGTCAGAAGAAAATTCAGTAACATGTTTAAGACACTTAAGAAAGAAAAATATATGCCAAGGATTTTTCTATCCAGCTAAACAGACTTTCATGTATAATAATCACAGTTTATTATTAACAGGCAAAAATTCAGAGAACATACATCGTATGATCTAGAGAGTAAGATTTAGCAAACTAAAATGATTACAAAGACATGAACATAAGGACTGATGGTGAATATTATTAAATATACAGTTACAGGTAGAACTAAAATTAAATGAGTACTAAAACGGCATATAGTATATAATGGCTACATAATCTGATGATGCACATAAAACTATTTTTAAAATGGGAGAATAGGAAGACCATATGCAAAAATAATTTAACTATTTTAAGTAATCTTATCAGAGTACTATTATTCTGAAACTGTTTTATGTTTATCGTAGAATAAAGCAATTGGGTAATTATGAAATACTCTAATTCTGGCATTTCCTTTATGCTTAAGAACCACAAGTCTTGACGTGGAAGAAAAGAGACAGACATAAAATAATAGTAAAAACTAGATGGTCCTGAACTTGAATTGGAAACATCAAAATGAACTCTGTCCACTTAAAAGGCCTAGAAACAATGACCACCCTCACTGCAATGAGTATTCCTAATACACTGACTGTGCTTTTAAAATACCATTTCCTCCAAAAGAAACCATGCTTTTGGGAAAAATGGCTAATTGCAGGTCTAGGGAAGGAAATGCATAAGATGAACTGGGAACATCTTATCATACCACATAGCAAGGAAGCTATCAAAGATAATATGGTCTGCCAAAACCAACATGCAGAGGTTTCCATTCATCAAAAATGGGACAATTTCAGTTTCAAATATGATAAAAACTGCAATGAATTAAAATACATAAAATATATTTAAATCCATTAGTTTATAATGAAACTATGAATTTTAAAAAAGGGAAATACCTTATCACCTTTAGAAGATGATAAGGAACCAACTCATTATCTTGAAAACTAGTAAATAAAGAGAAAGAATATCAAGCATTTATAGTTGGCCCTCCATATCCATGGGTCCCACATCAACAGGTACCCCCATGCACAGATTCAACCAAACATGGATCAAAAAAAGTCAGGAAAAAAAAGGAAGTAAATTTCCCCTGCAGCTGCCGGCAGGAATTGGCGTGAGGTTTGGCTGTCGCTTCTGACAGAGTATCCTGAAGCTGCCATCAGGAGAAGACCTCAAGAGAAGCTTGGCATCCATCAGCTCAAAGGGAAAGGGAATGGTTTTAGGTTTTTGAAAAAAAAAAAAAAAAAATTGATTCAAAAAGTACAGAGGAAGATGGTGGACTAGAAACAGTCTGTGAGCATGCTGCTCTCAAGGAAAGCAGTGTAAACTGTAGGCAGAGATGCCTACCTACAGATAGCTCTTCTCAGAAGGAATACTGTGAAATCACAGAGAAGTAATGTGGGACACTCAGAGTGAAAGAGAGCAAATAGGACATCCCCAAGACACAAAGTAATCAACCTAGCCAAAGTCAAAATGAAGGAGAAAATTCTACAAGCCGCTAGACATAAGCAACAACTGACCTAGAAAGGAAAACCCATCAGATTAACAAGCAGACTTCTCAGCAGAAACCTTACAAGTCAGAAGGGAGTAGGACCCAATCTTCAATATTCTTAAATAGAAAAATTACCAGCCTAGAATTTTATTTTTATATCCTGCGAAACTTAAGTTTCACACTTGATGGAGAAATTAAGTCTTTTCCAGACAAGCAAACACTGAGGGAATTTGTCATGACCAGACTTGCCCTGCAAGAAATACTCAAAACAGCCTTATACGTGAATTAGTACAATAGATACCCACCAGCATAAAATCACCCCAAAAGGCTAAAGCTTACAACTCTTATAAAACAGCACAGGAGGGAAAACAAAGCAATAAGGTATTATCCAACATGATGAACAAAATAGCATCCCACATATCATTTCTTATCTCTTAATGTTAACAGCTTAAATGAGCCACTCAAAAGAGCCACTCAGGCTGGCTGAATGAATAAAAAAATACAACCCAAGTATCTGCTGTTTCCAGGAGGCACATCTAAACCACAAGGATACAGAAAGGCTCAGTGTGAAAAGATAGAAAAAAATATTCCACACAAATGAAAACCAAAAGAGAGCTGGTATAATGATTCTCGTATCAAACAAAATTGACTTTAAATCAATAATGGTATAGAAAGACAAAGATGGTCATTATACAAAGGAAGCAATTCAACAAGAAGACATGATAATCTTAAATATATATGCACCTAACACAGGAGCTCCCAGATACATAAAATTAACTCTACTACAGCTAAAAAAGGAAATAAATAGTAGCACCATAATTGCCAGAGAATTCAACACCCAACTGTCAGAACTAAATAAATTATCAAAGTAGAAAATAAGGGAACACTGGACCTAAATGAGACCCTGAAACAAATGGACCTAACAGACATTTACAGAACATTCTACTCAAAAATATTGTACTGAATATACATTCTTCTCATCAGTACATGGGACATTTTCCAAGACTGATCATATCTTAGGCCACAAAACATGTCTCAACAAGTTTTAAAAATCGAAATCATATCATGTATCTTCTCAGACCACAGTAGAATAAAACTAGAAATCAATTCCAAGAATAATACTCAATTCTACACAAAGACATGGAAATTAAACAATCCGCTGCTGAACAATTATTGGGTCAATAATGAAATTAAGATGGAAATCAGAAGATTCTCTGAACTGACTGACAAAGGGGACACAAGCTATCAAACTCTATGGCATTCAGCAAAAGCATTCCTAGTGGGAAAATTCAGAGCCTTACAACCTCATATCACATCTCAAGGAACTAGAAAAGGAAAAGCATACCAAACCCAATGTCAGCAGAAAAAACAAATAACTAAGCTCAGAGCAGAACTAAATGAAATGGAAAAGAAACAAAAAAAAATAATACAAAAGGTCAGTGAAACAAACAGTTGGTTCTTTGAAAAGATAAACAAAATTGATAGACCTCTTGCTAGATTAACCAGAAATAGAAGACAAAGGACCCAAATAAGCTCAATCAGAAATGAAAAAGAAGACATTACAACTGATACCACAGAAATACAAAACATCATCCGTGAATACCATGAAAAGCTCTATGCACATAAGCTAGAAAATGTAGAGAAAATGGAAACATTCCTGGAAATACACAACTTTCCAAGACTCAATCAGGAAAAAATAGAACTCCTAAAAACAGACCAATAATAAGCAGCAAAATTGAAGCAGTAATAAAAAGTCTTCCAATAAAAACAGTAGCCCTGGAACAGATAGATTCACAGCCAAATTCTACAAAACCTACAAAGAAGTGGTATCCATACTGCAGAAGTTATTCCATAATGTTGAGAAGGAGGGAATCCTCCCCAACTCATTCTACAAAGGCAGTATAACCTTGATACCAAAGCCAGGAAAGGGAACAACAAAAAAAGAAAACCACATACCAACATACCTTGTCAATACAGATGCAAAAATCTTCAGTAAAATACTAGCAAACAGAGTTCAACAGCACATCAGAAAAATAATCTACCATGACTAAGTGGACTTCATCCCAAAATTGCAAGGGTGGTTCAACATATAGAAATCAATAAATATGATTGACCACATAAACAGAAGCAAAAACAAAGACCAGATAATCATCTCAATAGATGCAGAAAAAGCATTTGACAAAATCTAGCAGTCTTTCATGATAAAAACTCTTGACAAACTAGGCATAGAAGGAACATATCTCAAAATTATAAAAGGCATATATAACAAACCCACAACTAAAATCATACTGAAGGGGCAAGTTAAAAGCATGCCCCTTAAGAACTGGACAAGGGGCCGGGTGCGGTGGCTCACGCCTGTAATCCTAGCACTTTGGGAGGCCGAGGCGGGCGGATTGCTCAAGCTCAGGAGTTCGAAA